ACTATTCGAGTTTCTCCGTGTTCTGGCCAACAATCCCCCAAATAAAATTAGTCATTCACTTCGTGGCTGTTTGTGAAACACTGCTATGTGAAAAACTGGCTGCCGGGTTTGTCCACAAAAACGCAGACACTCTTTACAGAATATCATATGAAGTGCTTTGAGATGTCCTCCTGATATGAAAGGTGCTCTATCAAATGTAAGCAATATTATTATCCAAACTAAAACGCACCACATGTCCTCCAGTTCTACATTTACAGGGCATCCTTCCTCTTCACTGTCATAATTAACTCACGTTCTTTTGGTTCAAGACAAAATCAAACCACAAAGAAAAACAAGGTACAATTCAATATAAGTAACTTTGCAGTCAATCCCCTCCCTAACCCTGTTAGATTATAAAATACAGTCAGAATGCTGTGAGCATACACTGTGTCAGCTGCTTAACTAGAAATAAAATTGTTACCATTAAGAAAGAGTTCTACAATTCTATTCCTTTTGGTGAAGTCTTTTCCCTCAACACCCATAACACCAGCTTCAGACTCGGATACCCAACAGATGCCAGAATGATCAATCAGCTAATGGGTAATTTGTAAAGCTTCCCTTGCTAACAAATAGGTAATTGATTCTTTCACAAATGCTGCATCCCTATGGAAAATCTGGTTTGGAAGCATGCTGTAAGAATAGTTATGTGGAGAAAGAGCAAGTGCGCGAGCCTGTGTGAGGAGAGGAAATAGGATGCTGTTCAGGGGCAAAGTGAAGGAAGTATCTGGTTCCAGGTTGCTTCTCTGATGTGTTTTTGTGATTCCATGGGCTGCCCAGCAACCCGTGTTAAATGGGGCTTACCTTCAAATATGTGGAGAATTTCACTCCTTTTTACTTTCAAGTAATTTTGATACCGAGCAGGAAAGACATCACTCTAACATTCGGACTTGAACAGTGAAAGAAAGCAAACCACTACATCAATGTCTCAACACTGTCACCACTTCTCCATATCTGCCCCCCCCCCACTCCATTATCTTAATTTAGAAAGTTATTTGCTTACAATATGAACAAACCACAGGCTCAGAAGAATTGTCAAAGATGGGAGTGCTGTAGCGTAGTGGTTAGAGCACTCGCCTAAGCAAGTAAGAGTGTGACTCCCAGGCAGGGCGATAACTTAGGCAAGCTTCCTTACTCTGCACGCCTCTGTTTATCTAGCAGTACGACAGAACCCAGTTGTTAGTCGATTGGTGGATCGTCAAATAAGTTTTTTAAATAATAATATGGCCACTCAATCCACAACTCTTTGTGGAACACTCCTGTGCACAATTGGCTGCCACGTTTCGCCCATAAATCACGCAATTCACTTTACTGTATATTCTGTGAAGCGCTTTGAGACATTGCGACGATGTGATAAATGCATATCAAATGCAAGAATGATTATTATTATTATCATTATTAAGATCAACAGCATACAGGAATGCTGCACATAAATCATGTTGCAACAGTTTCCTAACCAAGCACAAAGCTTTGGAGTAATATTTACATTTTAAATAGTTATTTCACTAATACTTTCCAACTAGACCAGATGTCACCTCCAAAAACATCCACTCGACTTTATAGTTGATCTTGTGTGGCGCTTTGAAACATCGTCCTGACATGAATGGCACTATATCAAATGTAAGGATTATGTTTATTATTATTATGTCAGAACGTTTGCAAGCTGTGAGAACTAAAAGTCTCAGTCACAATATTAGATGTTTTATTTTATTCATTCAGCGAGCTGAATTGATCCAATTACCAACAAAGCGGATTTTCAAAGTGGAGTGGGAAACCAGCCTCTGATATCAGTGGTCACCTCGATTACCACCACAAGCAGGAGCCCAACAGCTTGGTAATTACGAGATCAGTTCGGATAAAGAAAGCCCTTCGCCCATCTGATTTCATCCTTCCAAAAGGAAGTGGGACTCTCACAAACAAACTCTGGAACTCTATTAATCCCTCAAAATGTGTTTACAATCACCTCACCCCTCCCACTCCTACGGCTTGGTGTCAGACTCCACCACCATCAAGCGCTCCGGGACTCTACCCCACATGAAGACCGCTATATAAATGCAAGCTGTTGCACCCACCCTACCATCTTCCCATCACACCATCAAGTATATATTTATAAAATATATATGTTATAAATATATCAATATATTTATAAAAAAGAAGTCCTGGCCTCAATTCCCTTCTTGGCTACCTGTTTATGTCATTAATTAACTTCTGAATGAAGAAAAACCTCCTGGTACCTAATTGCAAATTGGTTTTTGTAACTCTAAATAAATCTATGCCTTGTGTTCTACTGTCTTGGTGCATATTGCTGTAGCGCTCCCAGATGAGGGTATGCTTTTGCCAGCAGATCTGTGGTCGAGAGTGAGTGAGTGAATCAGCGAGTGAGTCGGACTCTCATAATTGTAAGCTGTACCTGCCTGATATAAACTTACTTTATATGCCAAAATAGTTGTGGATAAAGGGGTTAAAGTGCAGCAACACCATCCTCACACTGGCTGCACATAGACTCACCTTGCCAACAAGTCACCAATAAACATATGAAAGAATTAGGATTAACATCCTTTACCTCCTACTCTGGTGAATTTATTTTGCACGTATCAGTTTAAACCGTAAAGGAAAATTACATTGTGCTGGTTGGGGGGGGGGGGGGGAGAAGGAGGAAATAGCTATATCTGACAAGGAGCTGAATTAGCACACATGGTTAATTGACAAGATCACTGAAGCACTTGGTCTTAATTACTGTAACTGCTGATAATAATTCAGTTCTCTCGCACCATTGGGCTCAGTATACCCTCAGAGCCAATCTCTGAACAGTCAATAGCAGTGATACATACATACACGCACGCATTGAGTTTCACAATGCCTTGCAATTCTTTTATTTTTTTAATACTCTCTCTGTAAGGAACACGCTCAGAGTACTGTACTGATTCACAGAAAGATATTCCCAAAATAGCTACTATTGTGCACACACAAACTGTTCTGGAGAATAAATATACCTGTTCTGGCATTATTGAAGAGGTCTTGTTAAAAAATCTGAAGATATGACATGATGAAGTCACTGACCCAACATTTTCATCTTGATGTATGCTCTTGTATCCATTTTTAATAACGCTGGTCACACATCACACATTGGAGTCGAACTGAACGGGTTGCAAATCTGAACTGTAGCATCACTTCATTTAATAATAAAACATGGTTTATTTTAACAGAGACTGTCTATAGTGGCATTAGTTGCAGCAATGTTAAGAGAAGCGAAAAACAGATTGTTATATTCATTCAAGAAGTTAACTTCTTGGAAAAATACAAAAACAAAAGGAAAACTCAACTGCAGTTTGGGCCAGTTATTCAGCCACCTCTGGCTGCTTCCATTTGCATGATTTTCATGGTCGAGTTATTTTCTTCCCTTTCTCAAATAGGTTTAATCCTCCTCTACCACCTCCCACCCCCTTTCCACCCAGGTCATTAACTATGTAATTTTGTTTATTCACTCCATTTCTCTCGAACAATGCTAACCATCTGCTCTGTATGCAAGTATACCATTTTACCATCCATACAGTTGGCATCTAACCAGTACTGATTTTTTATAATTCTTTTTAAGCCGGCTTCATGCAAGGTTCTTCCAGATTAGCAGTCTTGGCACAAACTCTTTCCAAGAGGTGGATATTGTCTCAGAATGCTGTGAAGGAGAGTTTGTCGTTTGCTAATGAAAAACAAGCTGCTAAAGCGAGAAGGAATTGCAGGAACATATACTATAAACTATAAATGCTGCAAAGGTTTCCATTATTTAAAAATTAGATTTGAAATAGCCAAGTTTTGAATGGAAACTAGAAGTTGACTTGAACCTCAAATTTATCACAAGAGCGAGCACACACAATATACCACCTCAGCTTAGAGGTGGATTTAAAACGTTTCGAAATGGACTGGCATTTTTCCAAAATAGGGTTACTCAATAGGAAACAGAGAAGCTAATCTGAATTTAACCAGATGTTCTACAAAGTAAATGTATTCAAGAAACAAATCACGTGGGGGGGGGGGGGGGGGGGTTGGCAGGGGAAGGGGAGAAGCGGGAATGTCTAAAAATAGCCTCTTTCTGTGCTGTAAAATTCCATGAAAAAGGGCAAGACTTTAAAAATGTCTTCATGTTCTTTAAGAGAAAACATTTACTGATGAGAGTAAAAGTATAAACTAAGGGAACACAGTAAATAATTGGTTCACAACTCTATTTTTAAAGTTGGATTTTCTCTCATGAATTCAACAAACAGTGGGTGGAAAACTCAGCAAAAATGCCTGTTGTTTGATATACAACTTGTATTTACTGAGCATCTTTCACATACAAAAGAAATTTCAAAGTACTTTACGATACATATTACTTTAGGTCATCATGGCATGGACAAATAATGAGGAAACAATAAACAACAACAACAAATTTCATTTGTATAGTGCCTTTCACGTCATGAGGACGTCTCAAGGCACTGGACAGTCAAGGGTTTAAACCCAAGCTGGGGATTGGGATCACGAGGGGTGGAGGGCAGGGAGAGTTAGGGTAGGAGGGCGACCGAAGGCGTAGTCAAAGAGGAATGAAGAATTAGATATATACATCTAGATGGTATAATATTACTTTTTAAACATGACTTGCAGGGAATAGATATGCTACATCAGCTACTGCTATAGAACAAGGAGTGTCACTGGTTCATACTGTACTTCCTGGAACAAAACCAGTATGCAATATATTCACTTATCCTTTACACCTTCAGATCAACCTCACAGCCTTCCGATTAAAATCACCAGTAATTCAGCAGCAAGGTATATTGGTATAAGAGGGTGTGTTTTCATGCTTACAATGTCCCAAGTTGTAAATTTTAGTGGGGGAGGGAGGAAAGAGAAAGAGGGGAAAAAACAAGAGGGTAAAAAAAATAAAAAATTAAGGTGGGGAGAAAACAAATGTAACACTTAGATATCATACTTACAATATCAAATTGTTGGGTCTTGTTTCCTTGAATGTCCAGTAAGTAGACCTTGCCTTGATGTGTCCCCAGTGCTAAAAACTGTAATACAGTTCACAGTACAATCAAATAATAATAATCCTTGAATTTGATATAGCACTTTTCACATCTTCAAGACGTCTCAAAGCACAAATCTGGGTACCATACATCCAATTCTAACAATTCTAACACCAATTCTGCTGTCCAAAAACATCCTACTTTCCCCTTATTCATTACTGCCCAAAAGGAACCGTTTATCACAGTACATTGGTAAATGTATTATAAAAAATGTATCATTTAAAAATAAGTTCTGAGAATCAACTCAAGATGAAATTAAACATTTATGAGCCCATTACAATTCTAAAATGTGCTGTGAATTACCCTGGTATGATATTACAAGTCCAATATGGGGTAACAGACAAGGCAATAATGGTAAATCATTTGCAAAAACACAAGTAATATAGTGTAGGATTAAATAGTTGAAGATCTTTCTCATTTTCACTGTCTAAAATTTAAGTCACACCTGATGAAAACACATCTGGGTCGGAAGGGTACATTAATCAATGCACAATAACAATCAGTGTACCCGGGATTGCCAGTTATCACACAAACCTGTAATCAGAAGCTCAATGAACGTAAGCTATACATGTATTCTATTGTTGTGCATTCTTTGCATCGGTCGGACAAACTCTGATAATTTTTTAAAAAATCCATTTACACATTTTACAAATTCAAAAAATTTTGTGTGGCTCTACAGCATTGTATGCAATATAATAGAGACATCTATCTGATACAATAAAATCACAGTAACCCTTTATACATTTTGCATTGTAGGAGAGGAGACTCTTCGCTTTCACATTAGTTTCACTGTTTTGCACACATTGTGGCAAACAGTGCTATGTGGACCTGACATTGCTATCCCGACTGCTGTCTTTGCAATTCTGCTTATGTGCAAAATGCACAGCTCAACCTACTTAACAAATATCCGACTGCATTATAATTATGACAATAGATTTTTTCTGCTAATTACTTTACTGTTCACCTGCATTAAGAAAAGAACATTTTTGCCTTAATCCAGTGACATCTTTACTCAAAATAAGGCTTTCGGGCCAATATGATTGTGTAAGAACTGGTTAGCTGTCAGGATGAGTCATGAAGGGCGGCTCATCCACCGACAACAAATTGTGTCTTTGCAGCTTGTGCTTCCTTACTGATGAACTGTGGCAGCAAATTAAAAATGTAGTGCTAAAATAGGACCTAGGCATTTGTGAAGCAAGGACAAAAGAAACGTTTAAGGAAACCATTCAGCAAAACAGAATTAGGAAAATATTAAACATAAAATCTGCTGCAAAACACAAAAATAATAATATGGACACATCCGGGTTCTGTTGATAAACCTGCAAGTTCTGTTAAATGTTTCAATTTCAACAAGAAAATAAAGCACATTTAAAACATGCTTTGCTTAAAAAAATAGAAAAGTGAACATTGAATCAATAAATTTGAGTTTGATGCATTAACCAAATTCTGGGGCAACTCAAATCACAGTATTTATGTGCATCTGGGCATGCTTGATTGGATGCTCTAATGAAATGCTCATATTTACAGGCACTAGCAAGCACGTCAGTCAACCAGCACCATCTAAAAAATAACCTTCCATTAACTTGAGGTTTAAAAAGGATTTATCAAGATGGAATTGCTAAAATGAAAATTAAATTCAGGCACTTATAACATGAACCTGCATTAGGGGAGAGAAAAGGAAGAGGCAGCTCATTACAAATTCAGCCCTGCAATGTCTTTCGCTCCTGCAAGGTTGCTTTTTTTTCCCCAGGAAGAAAGTCCCCCGGGTAAAAAAAAATCAATACTGGTTAATAAAACATCAGGTGTTCAGACATAACTAGGTATGACTATTCCACTGCACAAGCTTGCTTGAATGCACCAAGTGCCATGACGATTAGTCATCTGGTACAGACTGATGCTGGTGAAAGTATGATGCTTTAAAAATAAAAAAAATTACTCTGAAGAAGGGGGCAGGTGGGGGAGGGGAAAGAATCTTAAATGGTTAATGATTCAGTAAATTATGGGAAAACAGTTTTATTTAAAGCAGAATTATCAATGCATATGAATTACAATGAGATGCTATAGGTTATGCAAACAAATTATTCAACGTTAATAGCGCAATGTAATTGCACATCACATTATTAGTCAGACAGAAAAAAAAGTAAGGAAAGTGAAAGGCAAGTTTCCATTGCATCTTTGTACGTCTTTTTTTTAAAAAAAACACTGCAATATAACAAAGATAAAGGAGTTACCTTATCATGGACAGTCATGCAACTTGCTGCATCTTTCTTCAAAATTTCTGTGACTCCATTAGCCAGTCTTTCATACTTTAGCTTTGGCTCCTCTTCACTTTCTTCCTCCTAGTGTTGTTTTACAAAATAGAAATCAGATGCTTAAAAAAGTATTAATTTCCAGGTTTTACTCTATTAAAAGAAACAAAATGACAATTATTTAGGAACTTTCATCCCAGGACAATCATGAATTATTGATTGTCTGCCAGGATTCCACCTAAGGGAAATTAAAGTGGTAAACCAGCTACTTATAATTTCTTGGATTTACCAAAAAAGCACAAGTCATACTGGGTCCTGTTAAGGTTTGTGCAGGAATATTTTTTGCCTATATGGTTGCTGTCACCGACATAACAATAAGAACAATCCTTGCATTTGTTAAGGTGTCTTATCACGGCTGCAAAACGCTTCACAGGATATACTGTAAAGTGGATTGACTGTATTTTGTGGGTAAACCCCGACAGCCAGTTTGCACACAGCAATGCACCACAAACAGCCACAGAATGAGTGGCCTATTTTATTTGGAGCATTGTTGGGCAGGACACCAGGTGAAACTCCCTTCTCTTCTTGAATAGTGCCATGGGATCTTTAACGTCCACCTGAACAGATAGATGGGACTTCAATTTAATGTCTCATCCAAAGGATGGCGCCTCCGATGACAGCCCAGCACTGCATTGGAATGTCATTTTAGACGTGGGGCTTGAACCCACAACCTTCTGACTCAGGATTGAGAGTGCTACCACTGAGCCAAACTGACACATAATCCAACGCCCTCACCATTAATCCAGCTCCTATGGTAATTAATCTAGCTCCTTTGGTAGTTATTGGTGATAAGAATATTGGTGCAGTAGATGGTACTTGTCAGGCTTTGGGATTATCAGTGATAATAAGCACATTCGTATCGTCATGGCTTTAACAGGTGGAAGCATTTATTTAACAAAAGAAATATACATACACGTTGAGAACAACTAGTTCACATCTTACTCTTCCTTGTTCACATGGCTCTACTGTGTAATGGTTTTGTGTATTGAGGAGGTGATTGATGACTGCTGTGGGAAGGAATATCCTTTTGCTTGAACAGCTGACAATATCAAGCTCCTTGAGATGAGCTACAATAAAAATTAAAAGAAATGCAGCATTTCCGCCTTCACTACTTGCAATGTGCCTGACCCCCAAGCCTGACAAGTACTCTCTACTGCACCAATACAGCAAGCCCATGATCCACCCCAGCCATTAGGTTAGGAGGCACATCCTCACCAATGTGAAAACCCCAGAATTCCTTAAAATAAACTTGGGTTGAATATGCACCATGTAAACTCATTCCACTTGAAATCTGGCTTTCCTATTACAATTTCTGTTCTGGATTGATTTCGATCTCACTGAGCATCTTGCATATCGTTAACAATACATCGCTTCAAAGCTCCCTTTAAGACATTTATTTTCACATCTTATCTAGTTGTTGCTCATCATTGCTCATCGTTCAGAAACCATTGTCACTTAAACTTCTGCCACCTGAAACACATCGAAATGGCAGCTGAAGAACACATCAACAAGACTTCCTGTGGGAGAAATACAAGAGAGGTCTGAGAGGAAAAATGCAGCCATGCAGGAAAATTGTGTTAGGATGACACCAAAACAATTGCCTGGAATATTAGGTCTCAATGTAAGTTTATTCATCAGTTGCACAACACTTCAACTGCTTGTTAGCTATTTATTGTTCTGTTTCTAAATGCACAAGTATATTTTTTGAGACTAGTGAGTGAGCAAATGAGCATCTATTCATAAGAAAAAAATTCTTGCAGTTGATATAGCTCCTTATCACATTGTTGAGATGTCTCAAAGCGCTTCATAGAATATACTGTAAAGAAGATTGACTGTATATTTTGTGGGCGAAGCACGGCAGCCAATTCCATATAACAGTGTCCCACAAACAGTTGTGGATTGAGTAACAAAATTATTATTATTTTTTAAGCGATCTGCCAATTGACTAACAACCGGGTTCCTACTTACTGCTAGTTAATCAGAGGCATGTGGAGTAAGGAAACTTGCCTATGGTTTTCTCCTGCCCGAATCAAACCAGGGTCCACCGGCTTGCGAGGTGATTACTCTAATCAATACACTACAGGACTCCACATGGTGGTTCTCCAGCCTCCTGTCTTCCCAACACCATTTATGGAGGGGAGGAAGGAGGTTAGAGAACACAAAATGTTTTGAATCTTTCACTGAAAGACTCTTTTTAATCTTGCCACTTAGGCTTTTATAAATCTTAGCTACAACTTTGGTTAGGGCTACAGAGAACTTGCTTCACATCTGCCCAATGTCATTCTAAACATAGGACACTGAAGTAAGCACGGAGCCCTTGATGAAAAAAAAACAGGTCGACTTTACCTACCTATGGTCTTACGTTTTAACAATGCAAACATGCAACTATTGTATTTACATAACCTCAGTTCTCTGTACTAGATTGTTCAGTCCATTGATTATAGTATTTGCAATGTGTTCAATCAATACGTTACATGACTACTCGGTTTGCATCTATTGACTGATATTTGCAACTGAACCATATTGACCGACATCTCCGCGTTTTATTTCTCTGCTTTTCATTTTTCTACAAAGGAATTTCACAACAGTTTCCTTTTCAAATTTGCAATATATTTATGGATTATCTGTACACCTTCCATTTCCCAGGACAAATGAGGTTGCACTGAACTCATCCAAGAGTCCATCAAAACAAGTGCATTTATGAAATGTGCTTTGAAAGATGCCAGTCTCATTCCACTGAGAGATGCAGCCTCTAAGACATCAAGCTATAGGGCCATAATAATGAGGATGGATGCACCACCACTGTAGACTTGCTCTGCTTCATAAGCGAATTAAAAAACTATTGGTGCACAATGGTAACAGTACATGAACTATCCTATTATAGTCTCAATCTCATCGCACAAGAGCTCATAATGGGGTCCATTATGGCCACATGTAAACACAGCTCTATTATTCGCTGTGTGTGAACACAGATGCCCTTGATTGATGCAACTTAACCACCAATAAAAGATTGGTCATTATATAGATAAATGTCATGGGGAGCATGAGATAAAAGTTAAATGAAAGTTAAATGTAAAAGAAAACTATATCAGTGGGTTAGAGACAACAATAACTTGCACTGATATAGCTTCCTTTCACATGGAGTAATGTCTTCAAGCCCTGAACAATGGTGAAGCTTGACAGCAAGGCGGGAGAAAAGGAAGGTGACTGTAGGCATGGTCAAGAAAGAAAGTTTTCAGGTGCGATCTGAAGATGGGCAAAGAAGGTGATAGGCAGAGGGTTTCAGGCAGGGACGTCCAGACTTGCGGAACGAACTGGCTGAAAGCACATCCTCTGATGTGAAGCAGAGGGGTCGATGAATATACAGAAGGCCCAAGCTGGGTAGAGGAGCAGGTTCGAGAGATAGAGTGATGCTAGGGTATGAAGTGATTTGTAGGTGATTATGAGGATCCTGAAATCGATCCGTTTTGCGACAGGGAGCCATTGGAGCCTAGCAAGGAATTTCGTACAGGCGAGGATACGAGGGTCAATGTTTTGAATCAATTGGAATTTGTGAATGGTGGATCTCCAGAAATCTGCGAGTACTGCAACAGAGGACCTGGTGATTCTCCTCCCGCCTGGTATACAACAAATGTAAAAGCTCCACTGCTCCAAAATGCTAAGAAATGCATCATTCAAGGACACTTCAGAATATTTCTTCCATGGCGGAACCTGTCTAAGAATGAAACATTACCACTATGGAGATATAACACTGTAGGAACGAGCAAGGCTTTGGAACTTTGTACTGAATTTGTGAACACCGTCCTTTCAATACAATAGCAAATCTAAACATATATAGCACATGAGACAAACAATACATCGGAGTATGTAAGGCGAGGCTGATATTTATCATCACAAAGCGGATGTGGACCATTGTGTAAAATTACAGATGCAAGAAGGTTCACAACGAAAGATATGTGAAAAACGTTGTACTGCAACTCGTACTATTACAACCGACAGATCGAGGTGTTCCCTTTGCTCAGTGAGGACTGGCCTGATTCATGTGCCCCACCCTACACACCCCACCATCAGTAGACGGGCTTTCAGCCTTTCTGCCCCCTACTCTCTGGAACTCTATCCCAGAGTCCCTCCGACTCCCTCCCTCATCTTGCTCAAAGTCTGTCTCAAATCCTACCTTTTGGCCACACTTTTAGTCAGCTTTCCACTCCCCAGCCAACCTGTATAGGTAAGTGCCTTGGGATTTCCTCCCCATGTGAAAGGTGTTACAGTATATACTTGTAAATTTGATTTGCATTGTTTTGTACAAACAGGATAAGTTTTGGAAGCAAATAGGATATCTGGCAGTGGTAACAAAAGGGGCAAAACATTCAAAACAGCACAAATAGTCCAGAATGGGAAACAGATCTAGTACAGGAGCCAAATGATTAAAGTTGGGAGCAAGCAAAGGTGAAAGAGAGAAACTGCTCAATACATCAGGTGGCTGCAAGACTTGGCCACCAGCATCACTTGAATGGCCAAGTTTCTGTCTATAAAAGAAAACATCAGTAAAAGAATCAAATAGAACTGATTAAATATGAACTTTCCCTGTAAACGCAACCCTGGGAGCTAGACTTAACGCCTCAGCATACCTCATCACTCAGGTAACCTTGACTGCCATCAATTCAGTAGGACTTCAACCAAGGGGTCCTACTAACCACAGTATAAGGTGAGAGGACAGGAACTCAAACCACAAATGTAAAGGTAAATGAAGATGAAAGTATTTTACAGAAAACATTGAGATCTACCTCACCCACTTAGAGCTAAATAGGCAGAGTGGCTGCTTTGCTGGTTGAATATACGGTTGCACAAAAGGCATAAAGTCAAGCAAATGGGAGAAGACAGCATCTGAAGGCACGAGGTAATCATTGTACTTCTGCAACAACCCAGAAATGATGGAAGGTAAGAGAGATCCATAGAATCCAGATATGTCAGTCTGGGTGAAGGACAAATGTCCAATGAACAGGGAGAGACAAAGTTTCATGAAGGAAATC